AAGTTCCAAACATAAGATGGGTTAAATTTTTTATACAATCCAAATAAATGCCAAACATAAGATGGGATTCTTATTATCTTTTCCAATCTAGTCTTGTCTTATCCCATCATTTTTGTCTTATCCAGTCCTATCCTAACCTGCATCCCAAACATGCTGCTAGCGTCTCGGTTTTAATATCTGGTGCTTAGCAGCTGTTCTATCCCCTCCGCCATATCCCCTTGGCCATTTCATTGCTTTGAGTCTGGATCTGGGATTTGTAGCGAGAGAGCTGAATATATATCTTAGGTATAAATCCTTGTTCCTTGTACATGAATTTCGATATAGATCAAAGAAGATTTCTGAATTTTATATATTTTTCCATGTTTTTGTACACAAGACCAAATCCCTAAGTCCAAGTCCAAGTCTCTAAATTTAACCCAAAATAGGGAAGAATAGAGAAAATCAAGGGAGTAGGAGAAGAAAACCACAAAAAAAGGAGCAAAAGGAATCTTTTTTCTTTTTTTTTTTTCTGATTATCTCTTCTTCTTTAATAGACTCTCTGTTTTGGGAATGCATTTTCTAAATTACTCGTGTTCTTTGGTTGTCTTGATTTCTTCTTTCTTAGATGTGTTTAGTAGAATTATGTACAGAGTTTTTTCAGAATTAAGGAGAGTTTAAAGATTCAATTTTGTATTTTGTCATAAATCAGCTTCATCAATACTTTATCTGGATTGATATTCCATGTGCATCATTTGCCAATTTTAGTTGGATAGATAGCTCCAGAATGTTGAATCCAGGTAATCAAAGATTTCTTGGCTATGGCAGCATTTTCATTGAATTTGTATTAGTTTAATTGAATTCAATGTATGGCATTATTATTGATGTCTGAAGGCTAAATTTATGCAGTTTACTGCTGACAAGTGATATGTTAATTTGGGTGCTTTGTGCAAATAGTTTCTAAGTTGGTCAGTTTTCATGTACTTTGGATGGTACTTGGTTATTTTACTTCCACTTGCCTGTTATGCAGATTGACCTGATCATTTAATTTAGCAGATGGGGGAGCTTGCAGTTGATAAGCATGTTCGGTACATTATATCTGTAGAAAAAGTTAGTAGTATCAATTTCCCCTACTTCATTGTTATCTTTTTGAATAATTTTATTCTACATTTTACTACACATGCAGCTTCCTAAGTTGATTTTTAGTAATGTTTTTTTCTTTTGATTGATCCTTTTTTTTTTTATTCTTAGAGGAAGGATAGTTTTGAATCTGTGGTGATGGAACATCTAAGAATGAATGGGGCATATTGGGGATTGACTACTCTGGATCTTCTAGGAAAGCTCAATGCTGTTGATGTTGATGAAGTTATTTCATGGATCATGAAATGTCAACACGAGTCTGGTATGTATAGAACATGTCTTTTTCTCCAGATTTCTATTTTAGATTTTTCATTCCATTCATTCACAACATTTGGTAGCTATTCCTAAATTTTTCTTGTTTTTGGTTGTAACTTTAAGGAAATTATGACAGCTCAATTACTATTTTTAAGTAGGATTTCTAATTTATTGTTGATACTAGTAATTTTTTGCCCATTCTCTACAGGTTGAAATATCAACATGTAAAATGTTTGGATGATTATCATAGAATATTAATAGGATTTTTTCATGCAGGTGGCTTTGCTGGTAATGCTGGGCACGACCCACACATATTGTTTACTCTTAGTGCTGTCCAAGTTTTGGCCATCTTTGACAAGTTAGATGTTCTTGATGTTAACAAGGTTGCAAATTGTATCCTTCAGCATATCTTTTAATTTTTGTGATTTTCATGCTTGGCCAGAAAAATTTCAAATTTGTTTTGCTCTCTATATATCTTATCTTTTTGAAAATTATTGTAATTTCAGCTTTCATCTCTTTCACGATACTTTTTCCAATTTAGCTCATTTCAATCTTTTTAACAATACCCTTCACACATTGATCTCACTAGTTATTAGTTAATTGTAAATCTTAATGCGTTTTTTTGCTACTTGTGAAGTTCTTTTTGGGTCAGTGTTGCAATATTCTGGCTAGTTCAAATATTGACAATTTAAGAGAAACAAATTTTCTCCTTTCAATGATCGAAGCATCTCGCTCTTTCTCTCTCTTTTAATTAGGTTTTGGCTGAAACAATTGACTCTTTGAAGGACACTATAGATTATATCAACTTAAGATATTTCTTGTTTTGCTTAATCTATAATTTAGATATTTCTGGGCTACAAAATGAAGATGGGTCTTTTTCTGGGGACTTGTGGGGTGAGGTGGATACACGGTATGTTCTTTTTAAGATTATATCCTATATATGCATGTTCTTGTTTATTTAGTATGCGCAGATGTTAAAACTCTATAGTAGCAATCCCAAACCCTCTTTGGTTTTAGGTTCTCATATATTGCCATATGTTGTCTCTCAATATTACACTGTCTGGATAAAATCAATGTGGAGAAAGCTGTGAACTACATTCTAAGCTGCAAAAACCTGGATGGTGGTTTTGGATGCACACCTGGTGGGGAATCTCATGCAGGGCAAAGTATGTTCTATATTTTACTGTACATATGTAGGCTCATATGTTTATGTAGCACATCTGTATGTTGGATTCTTTTCTTTTCTGGGATGCAATAGGGTGGGGAAAGTGAAAATCTGAAACTAGAGGTCTTAAAATCTGTTCATGCATGTCCTTGCTAGTAAGCCAGAGATCAACAACTAAGTGAAATATGTGACCACTAGGTGCAAAAATTTTCCATTGGAAAAAAAAGAAAAGTGCAAAAGTTTTCCATATTTGATTTGCAAATTTATGGGTGACTTTATGTTCAACATCTTGCATACTGTTTTGCCCGATGATTTATATTTTAAATAATATATTTCTTTTTTTCATGCCACCATTGCCAGAATTACTTTTGTTAAACTGCTTCTAGAGTTTCCTTGATCTTTTTAACTATACAGTAATGACCAACTTTAAGTCCTTAATTAGTGACCTAGTTAACCATGTTCTGCAATATGATTAACTAGAAATATCTTATTGACTTGATCTAACCTAATCTAATCCTGATAAATATTGTAAAATAATAACCTCATGGTCCAAACACCAATCCTAGAATTACATCAGAATTGCAAGTTAACCCCTAAATCTCAGTGGAACTATGATAATAATAAATAATATAGATAGTTCCTCTAAAGGATTCTTTCCCAACTGCATCACATTAGAGTGAACTTTACCCTTAGTTAGAAGTAGCTTAATCATCCTCCTGCAGATATTTAGTTTTTAAAATTGGAAGAGCCGCTGAGTTAGCAAACTAAGAATTAAATCCAGGCCCCTGATTTTGTCTGTTACTGTGTTTTGCTGAACACAAGCCTGCAAAGAATACAAATTCTCTCTAACAAGTGAGCATGTCTTAGTAAGTTTACTTACTCTGTCCAACATGACTGCAGTTTTCTGTTGTGTTGGTGCACTTGCTCTAACTGGGGCTTTGCATCACATCGACAAGGACCTTCTTGGGTGGTGGTTATGTGAGCGGCAAGTCAAATCTGGAGGTCTGAATGGCCGCCCAGAGAAACTTCCTGATGTAGGTGTCCTTTAAAATAATACCTTTTATCTTCCAGTTACAATCTTTTAGACTCTCGACACCATTACACGTTTGAACCACTTCAGGTTTGCTACTCATGGTGGGTTCTTTCCAGCTTGATCATGATCAACAGGGTTCACTGGATCGATAAAGACAAGCTGGTTAAATTCATCTTGGACTGTCAGGTTAATACCAAACTGAAGGGCTTATCCCTTTTTTTTTTTTTTTTTCCTTTTTTACATTATGTCAGTTTAACCTGAGAATACAATCCTTTTTCTAGGATTTGAAGTTTTAGGTGTTTGGCTAGATTTTCACTGATGATTCTATTAAATTGTTGAAATATTCAGGACTTGGAGAATGGTGGAATTTCAGACAGACCTGATGATGCTGTTGATGTCTTCCACACATTTTTTGGAGTTGCCGGTATCTAATAGCTTAATTCTCCCTTTATGAAACATGAGCTTTTGTCTTGTGATAAATTATTATGAACCCATCCAAATTACCACATTTTATTTCAACAAAATTTAGTGACTAGTTTTGCATACTGCTTTTTGTAAATTGTTTGCTTTATTAAGCACTTCCAGATTGCTTGATGACAGTTCTATTATCCTTTGTTGTCAATGCAGGACTTTCACTTCTTGAGTTTCCGGGATTGAAAGCAATTGATCCAGCTTATGCATTGCCAGTCGATGTTGTAAATAGGATTTTCTTCAGCAGGTAATTGGATATTAATAATGACAGTGTTCTATATATGCCACCCTTTTTCTATTGTACTATGATGGACCATAAAAAAGTGTCAAAATTCTTAATTTGGTTATTTTGCTATTTTATTTTAGACTCTCTCTGTGTCACGGTTAAGGTCTCCACCAGCATGGTTTTCTTTATTGGTTATACAAGTGGGGATGGTTCTTTCTTTTTATCTAAATTTTCTCTACCTTCCCCAGATGTAGAATGTCAGAATTAGAGATACCTGCATATGTGAATATGATGATTCTGGATAAACCAGAAATACCGACCTATGTTGAGAGCGCTGTAAAATTATCTGCTTACTGTTTTAGTCATGGCTATCCATGAGGGCATTATCCAATTTTTGTATCTTTCAATAAAAAATGATAATGGAAAAAAAAATGAAGTAGATGTGTTTCAATAATGCTTAGAAACAATTAATTATAAATAATTTTTTTAGAATGGATTAGATCAGTTTTTCGAGGAAAAAAACCAAGAAATGGATCACCAGATGTACATGATTGTAGTTGTTGCCATACCCTAGGGCTTGTTGGGTTGTTGGTAGTCTTTACTCTTTGGTCAAATTATAAAAATAAACTAAAATATAGACAATTTCTGGTTTTTTTTTTTTTTTTTTGAACATGTTTACAAGGGCTTCGAACCTTTGCCGGGGTGGGAGGTGCACTTTAACATGGCTTTGTTATAGAGAATTTCTTAAGAAGTTAAGAATAGTAAGTTTTAATGTTTAATTTGTCATTTTGCATTAGCAAAAAACCAAAGAACATTTTTTCTTTGAAAAATGGAAGGATTATTTATTCCTCATTCATCTTTGAACTTAGTAGAAAATCAATAGTAAGTCTTAGTTTCTCTTAACTTACCAAAGAAGTTTTCCAAACTAATAAGATCTTTGTCAAATTGATACCTACTAATTTAAATTTTTTTATTTAGAATCAATATTATAGGCTTAAATCTCTATGATTCTTAGTTAACTTTTTTATATATAAAAAAAGAAATGAATTTATCTTATTTTAATAGTATACCCTAAGAATAAGCACCATTACTCACAAAATATACATAACGTAAGGTGTTAATGTCACGGATCATTATATCCATTTTTAATCCATTTTCCAAAAAGCTTAAGCTGCACCAAACAAAGTTTTTCTAAATGAAAGTGAAAACTAGCTAAGTTTAATTGATCGGAAATCAACACTTAATAGACTGAATAAACATTAAATTTAGCTAATTTTAAGAAACTTAAAAAAAAAAAACAAATGGCGCATGGAGAAATAAAAGTAAACTAGCCCGCGCTATTTGATCAGATGATGTCAAAGAAATATTTTTTAAAATAAAATAATTACATTACGATTATATATTAAAAAAATACAAATTAATATTAGTGACGGATTTTGAAACCAAAATCAAAATGCCATGCCATTAAGCCCTTACCATGGGCCACGAAATGGTTGTCGGTGTCAAAGATAATAAAATCAAATGGTTACGACGAAAAGAGGGAGCTTTTTAACCTACTCAGCCGGTGACAACTGAACAGCTAAAGCGATACAGCTGTTTTTCTCATCCGGTAACCCCACCATTGGCTTGCATCCGTGCCTCATCCTCTCGTACAGCGACAAGTCTTGCAAGGTGCCCCCACACGGTTACATTCACATTGCTCCACTCAGGTCCAGCTAACCTTGTGAATCATGGTCATAAGATTGAATATAAGATTAAATCTATTAATATGTAGGTATTATCTTCATAAATTAAATTTATTTTATAAATCTTCAATTCAATACTTTTCAATATAAAGTGTTTATCTTTAAGACAGTTAAGAGTGAAAGTTACTCAAAAACATTCTAACTAAATAAGAAATGATTATTAAAAAAAAAATACTAAAGTTGTGTTTAGTATAATTTTGATTTTTTATTTTAAT